AAGTTATTAGCATAATAAAAGTGAAACTTTGGACAGTTGGTGGCGCTAGAGGGAATGAGTTAGAGACACCAAAATTGGTGTATTTAAAGTTGGGACTGTCCTCTATCAGAATGTCAAACCAAAACAACTTTCCCGCAAACCGGTCTATGGGCTGCCATAGACGCCCAGTCGGAAGAAGAATAATAATAATAATAATAATAAGAACCGGCACAGATACAATAGGTGCCTCCGCACCTTCGGTGCTTGGCCCCTAAATATAGCTGCAAGCAGCCATTACCGGGGCCAAGCGCAAGAAGCGGCAACATATGCCAAAATGGCAAGGAGTGGCAGACCAACTGCAGCAAGGAGCAATTAAGGGCATTTTGAGAGAACTTTGGGCAAATGGCTAAAAAAATCACATAAACATTAACTTATAAGATGATTTAATGGGTTATCACTTTCGAACAATAGGTGGCGCAGTTACGAAATAGATGTGATGTGGTCAGAGTGAGGTGACAATGACACATGCAAAGTTTGGTGTCAAAATGTGAAGGCATTGCAGAGATAAAGCCTAAATAGTAATTTTGGCAGCATGCCTAAACTTTGATGCTGTGGTATACGAAAACGGTTTTGTCTATCATCGTGCAATTCATAACTTTTAGTCGGCACGGTCTGGAGATGATACGATTCAATTTTCGTGAAAATCGGACAAACGGTCTAGGAGGAGTTCGAAAAAGAAGGTTTTTCAAAGAAATAAAGATGGCGGACAGGAAGTTTGGCTGATTATGCAAAACCTGATATCTATGTTTTCGGCATAACCCAAGGAATCTATTAAGATCAGTTTCATTGCAATAGGCAAATTTATTCAAAAGTTATTAGCGTTCTCAGAAATTAATTATAACTTTTGACCAACAGGTGGCGCTGTCTCAAAATCTTTTGAGTACCTTCAGGGCATGCTGCTTATGGCACACACTGAGTTTCGTAATGTTAGACCAAAGCATTTGTTTAGTATAGCATTGTATTTCACAAAACTGTATTGAAGTCAATGGGAATTTCACGTTTTGTTCTATTATAGCGCCACCAAGAGGCTCAGTCCCACAATTTTTTTTATGTGTCCTCAGAGTGACCCCATACATATGTGTGTCAATTTTGGTGCAAATATCTCAATTTACTTCCGAGTTATAAACATTTATATGAAAAAACACGTAAAAAATGACTGACACATGACTTTGTTTGAATTTTACTACCCCTTACTATCAATATTTTCGCATTTGGGCATTAGCGTATAGTTAACAAGCTATGATTCCGTGTTTCTGGCGGTGGTTTCGTCTCGATCGGAACAGCGGTTTTGAAGATATCGCCAAGTGTTTTTTTCGCGCTAAATCGCTACGCTACGCCATCCGTGAGACGAAACCCGACATATTTGGTATCGTTGGACTCGGCAACGATTCAGGACCTCAAAAATATGACTCCCGTGAAAATAAGTGTACCACACCCAAAGTTATAAGCGTTTGAATAAAACAATTCACCACTAGGTGGCGCTGTTTCGAAACTTCTCAGGCTCCTTCAGGGCATCGTACTGATGACCCATAACGAGTTTCGTAACAATTCGTTCATGCGTTCAAAAAATACAGCATTTTAGCACATAATTCAAAATGGCCGACAGCCAAAATGGCCGATCTGGGAAAATTGGATATCGGTCGACTCGGCATGACGCCCTGAATCTAACGAGACCAAGTTTTTGATTTTTGGAGAAACCGTTCAGAAGTTACGAGCAAAAATAGCCATTTTTCATATCTCCGGACCACTAGGTGGCGCTGCGCCGAAACGCAGCACGTAGCCTCAGGTCATGCTTGTGATAACACGTACCAAGTTTGGTGTGAAAACGAGTAAGCGTTGCGGAGATACAACCTCACGTCTGTTTTCGCAAGCGCTACGTAAATTTTGTTTACGCGTTTATCGAAAACGGTTATTCGAATCATCTTGAATTCCATAACTTTTTGTCAGCACTGCCTGGAGATGATCCGGTGCGATTTTGGTGAAAATCGGACAAACCGTCTAGGACGAGTTCGCAAAAGTAGGTTTTTTGGAAAATTCAAAATGGCGGCCGTTTTTTTATGACGGAAAATGACGTCATAGGGTGCGATCGAATCGGCATGAGCTCAGGAACAAGAGGAAAAAAGAATTTTGTTGATAGGCCTTACGGTTCAAAAGTTATTAGCATAATAAAAGTGAAACTTTGGACAGTTGGTGGCGCTAGAGGGAATGAGTTAGAGACACCAAAATTGGTGTATTTAAAGTTGGGACTGTCCTCTATCAGAATGTCAAACCAAAACAACTTTCCCGCAAACCGGTCTATGGGCTGCCATAGACGCCCAGTCGGAAGAAGAATAATAATAATAATAAATATAGCTGCAAGCAGCCATTACCGGGGCCAAGCGCAAGAAGCGGCAACATATGCCAAAATGGCAAGGAGTGGCAGACCAACTGCAGCAAGGAGCAATTAAGGGCATTTTGAGAGAACTTTGGGCAAATGGCTAAAAAAATCACATAAACATTAACTTATAAGATGATTTAATGGGTTATCACTTTCGAACAATAGGTGGCGCAGTTACGAAATAGATGTGATGTGGTCAGAGTGAGGTGACAATGACACATGCAAAGTTTGGTGTCAAAATGTGAAGGCATTGCAGAGATAAAGCCTAAATAGTAATTTTGGCAGCATGCCTAAACTTTGATGCTGTGGTATACGAAAACGGTTTTGTCTATCATCGTGCAATTCATAACTTTTAGTCGGCACGGTCTGGAGATGATACGATTCAATTTTCGTGAAAATCGGACAAACGGTCTAGGAGGAGTTCGAAAAAGAAGGTTTTTCAAAGAAATAAAGATGGCGGACAGGAAGTTTGGCTGATTATGCAAAACCTGATATCTATGTTTTCGGCATAACCCAAGGAATCTATTAAGATCAGTTTCATTGCAATAGGCAAATTTATTCAAAAGTTATTAGCGTTCTCAGAAATTAATTATAACTTTTGACCAACAGGTGGCGCTGTCTCAAAATCTTTTGAGTACCTTCAGGGCATGCTGCTTATGGCACACACTGAGTTTCGTAATGTTAGACCAAAGCATTTGTTTAGTATAGCATTGTATTTCACAAAACTGTATTGAAGTCAATGGGAATTTCACGTTTTGTTCTATTATAGCGCCACCAAGAGGCTCAGTCCCACAATTTTTTTTATGTGTCCTCAGAGTGACCCCATACATATGTGTGTCAATTTTGGTGCAAATATCTCAATTTACTTCCGAGTTATAAACATTTATATGAAAAAACACGTAAAAAATGACTGACACATGACTTTGTTTGAATTTTACTACCCCTTACTATCAATATTTTCGCATTTGGGCATTAGCGTATAGTTAACAAGCTATGATTCCGTGTTTCTGGCGGTGGTTTCGTCTCGATCGGAACAGCGGTTTTGAAGATATCGCCAAGTGTTTTTTTCGCGCTAAATCGCTACGCTACGCCATCCGTGAGACGAAACCCGACATATTTGGTATCGTTGGACTCGGCAACGATTCAGGACCTCAAAAATATGACTCCCGTGAAAATAAGTGTACCACACCCAAAGTTATAAGCGTTTGAATAAAACAATTCACCACTAGGTGGCGCTGTTTCGAAACTTCTCAGGCTCCTTCAGGGCATCGTACTGATGACCCATAACGAGTTTCGTAACAATTCGTTCATGCGTTCAAAAAATACAGCATTTTAGCACATAATTCAAAATGGCCGACAGCCAAAATGGCCGATCTGGGAAAATTGGATATCGGTCGACTCGGCATGACGCCCTGAATCTAACGAGACCAAGTTTTTGATTTTTGGAGAAACCGTTCAGAAGTTACGAGCAAAAATAGCCATTTTTCATATCTCCGGACCACTAGGTGGCGCTGCGCCGAAACGCAGCACGTAGCCTCAGGTCATGCTTGTGATAACACGTACCAAGTTTGGTGTGAAAACGAGTAAGCGTTGCGGAGATACAACCTCACGTCTGTTTTCGCAAGCGCTACGTAAATTTTGTTTACGCGTTTATCGAAAACGGTTATTCGAATCATCTTGAATTCCATAACTTTTTGTCAGCACTGCCTGGAGATGATCCGGTGCGATTTTGGTGAAAATCGGACAAACCGTCTAGGACGAGTTCGCAAAAGTAGGTTTTTTGGAAAATTCAAAATGGCGGCCGTTTTTTTATGACGGAAAATGACGTCATAGGGTGCGATCGAATCGGCATGAGCTCAGGAACAAGAGGAAAAAAGAATTTTGTTGATAGGCCTTACGGTTCAAAAGTTATTAGCATAATAAAAGTGAAACTTTGGACAGTTGGTGGCGCTAGAGGGAATGAGTTAGAGACACCAAAATTGGTGTATTTAAAGTTGGGACTGTCCTCTATCAGAATGTCAAACCAAAACAACTTTCCCGCAAACCGGTCTATGGGCTGCCATAGACGCCCAGTCGGAAGAAGAATAATAATAATAAGAACCAGCACGGATACAATAGGTGCCTCCGCACCTTCGGTGCTTGGCCCCTAATAATAATAATAAGAACCGGCACAGATACAATAGGTGCCTCCGCACCTTCGGTGCTTGGCCCCTAATAATAATAATAATAAGAACCGGAACAGATACAATAGGTGCCTCCGCACCTTCGGTGCTTGGCCCCTAATAATAAATAGTAGCTTTTATATCCATTTTATATGTATGTATACTGTATATACACTTCTGTATAATTAAACAATATTATACATTAATATAACTTTATATAATTAATTTGATTGTTTTTTATTTTTATTTGACACTAAAGTCAGAATAAGTCTAACTTTAAGAACTTTTAAGGAAATATGTGTAATATCTATACTCAATTATGTCCCTTTACACACCACATAATTGTTTTTTAAAAGGATCCGAAGTGCTTCTGTATAATAAACGTCTAATATCTTCATCACCTTCTAATCTCTTATCCTCAGGGAGGCACTTTTTCGAGCCCGAGCCATCCGGCTTGGTGGTTGGAGTGTGTGTGGAGAACCTGTATAAGGTGTTCACCGGCGGCTCTAGACCTGCGGTGGACGGCCTGAGTATCACCTTCTACGAGGGTCAGATCACTGCTTTCCTCGGACACAACGGTGCAGGAAAAACCACTACCATGTGCGTTTCCAAAACCAGTGAAATGGATCTTTGTTTATCCATGGGAACATCATACACTTTTTTTTTCTCTCTGCCACAGGTCTATTCTCACCGGCATGTTCCCTCCCACCTCTGGCACGGCCTATATTTATGGGAAAGACATCCGAACAGACATGGATGCCATCCGTAAATCTCTGGGAATGTGCCCCCAGCATAACATCATCTTTCACCAGTTCGTAAACCCCTCATGTGTTTTCCATTGAAGGGATATTGATTCACATGCTAATATAACATCTGTCAGAATGCTGATTTGTTCTGATCTCTTTCTCTTCTGCAGTATGACGGTAGCAGAGCACATCTTGTTTTACTCTCTACTGAAGGGTAAGCCCTTGCCCGAAGCCCAGCTAGAGGTGGAAAACATGCTGGAAGATCTCGGTCTCCCTCACAAGAGGAATGAGGAGGCACAAAACCTGTCAGGTTAGATCATAAATACCTTTTTAAAAATCCCCTCCTCTGCAGAACCAACTCAATTCTGTTCTGTAACACAATAAGACTTATGAATAAAAAGAGGATATTGTCTTCCTATTTAGGTGGTATGCAGAGGAAGCTTTCTGTTGCCATGGCTTTTGTCGGTGGTGCTAAAGTGGTGTTTCTGGATGAACCTACATCAGGGGTGGACCCCTATTCTAGGCGCTCTATCTGGGACCTTCTGCTGAAATACCGTGCTGGTATATGAGCCAAACTAAAAAATACAACTACACTTTTCTGAAGATGGTTTCTGTCGATTTAGGTAGCTCTTATCACATGGATGTGTGTTCAAGTGTTCGTTTTTCCAATAAGTTTGATCTATGATATTGGATAATAAATGCATCCATCCAGTTATAATAGATTTTTTTTATTATTAATATTATTATTTTAAATATTTAATTTTTTATTTAACATTGTTTTTATATTTTATATAGAATATCCCTCCATCCATATTTCTGTCTAATAAGTTGTATTAATATTTTATTTTCATAAGTTCATTTAATTATTATTATATTAATACTTAATCATTTTTTTATTTCTATATTTTATTCCCAATTCATATTTTTTTTTACTTATTTTATATATTTCATAGTTTTATACTTTAAATTACATCAAAATAAATAAATAACATCCATCCATTACGATGTGTAAAAATCTATTTTTATTATTATTTAAAAACATATTTTATTAGTATTTGATATATTACATTTAAATTTTTTTGATATTTTATATTAATATCCATCCATATGTCCCTCAAATACATTATACATTTTATTAATATATATTTAATATATACTTTATTATAATAGTTATACTTAAGTATATATTTAATATATACTTAATATATCTTTTCATGTTTTTTATGATTTAATTATTCATAGATTTAAATATATATATATATATATATATATATATATATACATATGATTCCCATCCATCCATTTCTGTTATTCTTTTATTTGATATAATTCATATTTTTATATATTTTATATTAAAAATATGATATCAATCCATCCATCAAGATATGTGTAAAAATAGTTTTTAAGTTTAGGCTATTTGAGATATATATATATATATATATATATATATATAATCAATCTATTGTAAAATTGAGGATGATCTAACAGACTTCTGTTCTTTACATTTGTAAAAGTGTGTGTATCTGTGTGTTCTTCAGGTCGTACAGTGATCTTGTCCACACACCACATGGATGAAGCTGACTTGCTGAGTGACCGTGTGGCCATCATCTCTCAGGGTCGTCTGCACTGCTGTGGCTCTCCTCTCTTCCTGAAGAACTGCCTGGGCGCTGGCTTCTACCTCACTCTGGTGCGGCGCATTAAAGAGCTGCCGTCCCAGGTCAGTCAAGAGGTGAGACTTTTACCCTCCATTAAAGAGAGTGTATAAAGCAGCCAGACTCTCATGGTTGTTGTGGTTCTCGCAGGGTCAGTGTGACTGTACTGGGGACTGCTCCTGTAAGTGCTCACTCTGTACCAAATTGAAGGAGAGCACCGTAGAGCAGCCCAGAGTGCCAGAAAGACAGATGGAAGGTAAAGTGTTCATATGTTGATGTCAAATCAATGAAATCAAACTGCAATGATCATAAATTAGGATGTATAATCTTGCTCTCTCAGGGGACATAGAGAGAATAACGGCCCTCGTCCACCATCACGTCCCAGAGGCCAAATTGATAGAGGTCATAGGGCAGGAGCTGACCTTCCTGCTGCCCAGCCGGGGCTTCAAACATCGTTCTTACGCCAGCCTGTTCAGAGAGCTGGAGGAGACGCTGGCAGACATGGGGCTCAGCAGCTTTGGAGTATCAGACACTTCACTGGAGGAGGTCTGTCATGCACAAACAGGCTCATTTACTATCATTTGTATTTGAGACAGGAACATTTATATTTTTATTTTAAATTTAAAAATTTTAATTTTTTATTTTCTTTTTTTATTTTTAAATTTGTACATTTTTTTAATTTTTTTTAATTTTAATTTAATTTAATTTATTTATTTATTATTTTGAACCATCCTCTCCCTTTTGTTTACAACCTGAAATAATTGTTGATCAATTGTTCAATAATAATAATGTTAATTTGTTTCATATATTTATTTTATTTATTTTAATTTTTTTTTTATTTAAATTTTTAAAAATGTAATTTTTTTTAAATTTAAAAACAAATATTATTATTTTTTAATTTTTTAATTTTATTTTTAATTTCTAAATTTAAAAAAATATATATTTTATTTTTTTTTATTAAATTTTATTTATTTATTTATTATTTTGAACCATCCTCTCTCTTTTGTTTACAACCTGAAATAATTGTGTTGATCAGTTCAATAATAATAATGTTAATTTGTTTAATATATTTATATATATATTATTTTGCAGTAAGTTATCAACTTTTTAAAATCCATCATCCTCCGTTGCACAGCCTGTAAAAATCAAGTTTTGTCTCTTGTGTCCTGTAGATATTTCTGAAAGTCACAACTGATGGAGAGGCTGCACACATCAACACTGAATCTGGTAAGATTTCAGTATACTATCTCTCATTTAATCTCAGCTGTACAGATACTGTGCATATGTGTCAGATTATGGTGCTTGTGAGTCTTGTATATTGTGATGGTGATGTCTATATTTGTGGTTGAACCCCTTAGACATCAGAGTTCTGCAACAGAAATCTCTTGCAAGTCTTTATAGAGAAACCGCAGTCAAAGTGAATATAGAAGAAGGTGACGACCAACTTAGTCTCTCAGGCCTATAATGCTTCATCCTAACTTCAGATAAAGCTGCCTTGCTAAAACAACACAGTTAAATGGACACAACAGATATGCCGCTAGACACTGCTAATAGTGCATATGGTGCAGGTTAACTCTTTGACACATAGATTGATTTCTTCTTTTGATCCTTATATTTCCTAATTCTTGATGACTTATTAATACTTTTAATATATTTTATTTGACTGAATATATTGTATGATATATTATGAAATCATCTGTGTAACTTTCAAATATGAATTTAAAATATATTTAAAATTATTTAAAAATGACTACATCAAAGGGTTAAGCTCACTTTTTATAGTTGTAGCCATAGTTTTTTTTTTTTATAGTTTAAAAATAGTTCTAGAGCAATATATCAGCCAGGCTTATTATGATAAATCATCAAAGGATATTTTAGCTTTTTGAGATTCTCTATACCAGTAAGCCAACACTTATTTATTTATTTATTTATTTTAACCATCATCTTCCTTCCTACAACCTATAATAATTATGTGTTGTTAATTTGTTCAATAATAATAATGTTTGTTTTTTTAAATTACATTTTGTCTATATTCTGTTCTCTAGATATCTGCATCAGCCTTTGGAAAACCTGTATTAGTTGACCAAAAAGCTATGTCAATAATTTTGTTCTAGATTTCCTCTTGACAGCGTTTTATCTTTTGTGCAGAGATAGTCAGGTCGGCGTTTGCTAACTCTGGAGGTTCGACCACCAAAGAGTGCAGAGGATCCCCACAGGTGAAGGGAATCTTTCTGGTCCTAAAGCAGTTTTTCGCTCTTCTCATAAAGAGGTTTCATCACTCCACACGCTCTGGAAAAGACTTCCTTGCCCAGGTCAGAATAGCATCATTGCATTGTAAACATTTAGCTTTGGAACGACAGTGATGAAGTCCATATATAAGATTAAAAAAAAAATGGTTTTAGTCAATTAAATGTAATTTAAGTTGAAAGGACTTAAATATATAAGTTGATTGTACTTAATACATTTTTTTACCGTGTTGATGTTCTCTTCTTCAGATTGTTTTGCCCGCCAGTTTTGTCCTGGTTTCTCTCATGTTCACGCTGATTGTTCCTCCATTCGGAGAATATCCCAGTCTTACTCTAAGCCCATGGATGTACGGCCGACAGTTCACCTTCTTCAGGTACATTTACAATGGAACAGGACTAGTTTTATCCAATGTAAAGTTACCTGAGAAGTTAAAAACAGCCTTTTTAATGTCTGTTTCCAGTAATGAAGAGATGCAAAGCCCAGATATGAGGTATTTTGGTGAGGTTCTTCTAAACAGACCTGGATTTGGGACTCGCTGTATGGTGGATGAACCTCTAAAGTACGTGTACGTGATATGGATTAATATGCAGAGGATTTTGTGCTGCTTACTGTGACCATTTGTGTTTCCCACAGAGACTATCCATGTAATAACATAACCACAGAGTGGGAGATGCCCCTGGTGAACCCGACGCTCATTGAGATGCTGGATAACCCGGAGTGGACAGACATCAGTCCGTCTCCCAGCTGCCAGTGCAGCACGCCCAAAATACTCACCATGTTACCTGTGTGTCCAGAAGGTGCAGGGGGTCTTCCTCCTCCACAGGTGTGTCTCTCAAGTCTTGACTATAGGTATGACGCTGCAAATTCCTTTAAATGTTGTAAAATGATGTGGTTCCTACTTTTCAGAGGATTCAATCCACTGGTGACATGTTGTTGGATCTGACTGGAAGGAACATCTCTGATTATTTGGTGAAGACCTACCCAAACTTAATACGGACAAGGTATTGTGGCCCATTTATGACAAATTGTTCTTTCAATAGCTCTTTTGTTTCCAGGTATTCATCTTATTTGTGTTTTTTTTTCAGCCTGAAGAGCAAGTACTGGGTGAATGAACAAAGGTATTGGTGTCTTAAACATGGAGTAGAAAATACAACGACTCCCTCTTGTGGACACTTAGAGAACACATGCGTTCAATGGTCTAAATGTGTGGAAGGATGAAAGGATGCGCTCTCTTTTCTTCAGGTATGGTGGCATTTCTGTCGGAGGGCGACTTCCTGTTCTCGACGTGGATCCTAAAAGCATCCAGAATGCAGTTGGTCAGATAGGACGTCTGCTTAATGTCACAGGGGTAAATGTTTCATATTGTTTTCATTGTGAATTCAATGTAATCATGTTTCATATTATAAAAAAAAAACAAAGCTACTCAAAGCCAAGTCAAATTATTTATGTATGATTAGAAAAATTATAAAAAAGCTGGGTTTTTTTAACCCAACATTGGGTCAAATATGGACAAACCCAGCCATTGGGTTAAATTTTTAATGACATTTTTAACCAAATGTTTGGGTTTGTCCATATTTGACCCAAAGTTGGGTTGAAACAACCCAGCATTTTTAGAGTATATATATATATATATATATTAGGGCTGTCAAACGATTAATCGCGATTAATCGCATCCAAAATCAAAGTTTGTGTTTACATAATATATGTGGGTGCACTGTGTATAATTATTTATATATATATATATATATATATATATACACACACATGCATGTATATTTAAGAATAAAATAGTATTTATATATAAAATATTTATATTTATATATAATATGAATTATTTATAAATCTATATATATATATATATATATATATATATATATCTGCACACTGTAAATAAAATCAGCAAAGTATTACTTTAATTTGACAAAACATAATATAAGTTTTAAATGATAAAATGATAGGTTTATTGAAAAAAAATATTTGGACACAAAATTCTAGTTTTAAAAACTTTTTTGTTTTTAATACATTAACATTTCATAGATTTCATTAAGTGTCAATTATTTTAAGGGTCAGTTTATGTTCATGTTGTGATCATTTACAGGGCAGATACTCAAAGCTTGCTCTGCAGGAGTTGGGCACTTTCTTGAGGTATATGGAGACTGAAAATAATGTCAAGGTGAGATTTCTTTCAGCTTCACTTCCTGTCACAGTTTACTGAGCCCATCCCATTCGAGATAAATAACCCATTTGTTATCTCCTCTAGGTGTGGTTCAATAACAAAGGCTGGCACGCTATGGTGGCCTTCATGAACGTGGCGAATAACGCCATCCTTCGAGCCAACCTGCCTCCTGGTGTCAATTTAAATGAGTACGGCATCACAGCCATCAATCATCCGCTAAACCTGACCAAGGAACAGCTGTCGGAGGTCACAGTGTGAGTGTAATGCTCACAGATAATCCAAAATTTGTTTCGCTTGCAAATGTCTGTGTATGTAAGTATTGTTTTATTGATTCTCTCAGACTGACCACCTCAGTGGATGCAGTGGTTGCCATCTGCGTGATCTTCGCCATGTCCTTCGTACCGGCCAGCTTTGTGCTGTATCTGATCCAGGAGAGAGTGACGCAGGCTAAACACCTGCAGTTTGTGAGTGGGGTCAGTCCTATTGTGTACTGGACTGCTAACTTCTTCTGGGACATGGTTAGTATGAAGACAGTACATCTTACCATAACTTGCCAACTTGTTCACTGTCCCCCTGTGTGTGTGAATGAAAGATGGATGGTGTAAACCTGAGCATTGCACGATTAAGGAGCGATTCTGCAGTCGTGACATTGAATTGTTTGCTGTTAGCATACGGCCATATTATCTGCCATGTGAGCTTTCACATGTTATTGTGATAGCAGTGTACAGCAATGGATGTCCTGTACTCAGTCACCAGCAGGCTCCAGACACAGCCTTTGATTTTAACCATGTGTCTCCTTCATCTGTTCTGCCCACATACACCCTATGTCACTTGTCCTACCAGAGAAGATAAAGTATTGGACTTATTTTTTGCAAACATCAAGGAGGCATACACTGTGATTCCCTAATTTATTGTACAGTAATTCTGGTTTTATTGTGAAAGAACGGTACTTCTTTGTGTATGCGTGTACACTTTTTTTTTTCTTTGCTTTGTCTCTGCGGTTGCAAACCGTAATTTCCCCATTGTGCGACAAGTAACGTTTTTTCTTATCTAATCTAATCTTGTCCTGTTGTTTCAGATAAACTATGCTGTCAGCGCGGCAATGGTTGTGGGGATTTTTATTGCATTTGATAAAAAATGCTATACTTCACCTGGCAACCTGCAAGCCCTGATAGCTCTGCTGATGCTTTATGGGTAATGTCTTCTTTTATTGATCCTTTAACATTTCTTTTAGCAGAACAGCCTTTCTAGGTATATTTAGGTTTGTCGTATTATATATGTGGGTTGAAATGCTGATTTTATTTCTTTCGTCTCCATAAATCTGACCTGTACGAATATTTAAAAATATACTAATCTGTCTTTTTTCTCATTTGTGAAATAGTTGGTCAGTGACTCCCATGATGTATCCGATGTCATATGTGTTTAACGTGCCCAGCACAGCGTACGTCTCTCTGTCCTGCATCAACCTCTTCATTGGCATCAACAGCAGTGCCATCACGTTCATCTTAGACCTGTTTGACAGTACAGAGGTGAAACATCCCACCCTTCAAATTCTAAAATAATACAGTTTATTAGCTTTTAAACAACTCACAGATTTCCACCTATATTATTATTACAATTTTAATCAGATTAAATGCATTGGTCATTGGTCAAGTGTAAAGGTAAGGTTTATTTCATCCTCCATCTGTCTCTACTTTCATAGGCTCTGTATAAGTGTAACCAGGTGCTGAAGAAAGCTCTACTTGTCTTTCCTCACTTCTGTTTGGGCCGTGGGCTCATTGACATGGCAATGAACCAAGCCGTGATGGACGTGTATGCACGCTTTGGTGAGTCCTGCTCCTTTAACCCACCTTGCATTTCAGTCGGTCGTATTGAGGTTGCAGCAAGCAACCCTAGCCTGGCCCCTGGCAAGGTTTGGACTCTTGTGATCTGACCTCCATAAAAGTCACTGAGCTTCAATCTATATGTCAACATGATGGAAATACAACACCTTACATTTGCCAACCGTGTCTTCATTGAAAATTCACATTGCATCTGATGGCTATTCAAAGCTACAATTGTTTTAGATAGCCAAAATGGAACAGACTCAAGCCGCCTTTCCACTATCTTCAACAAACGACAAGCGAGAGTCCGGAAGTCTTTCATTTTTAATGAAGAGTAGTATGGGAGCTGCGAGTTCTGACCATATGCGTAACTTATGCCAAGTTCAATTTCTTAATTTTACCATGGTAAATAAGTGGAGAGTAATGGTTGATTCACAACCAATTTGAAAGTTCCATGCGACTGTCGCTAGGAGTGAAATGCGACTCGCATGCGAATGTCGGAGATAGTGGAAAAGGCTTCATGCTCAAACTAATCTCCTAAAACCTCCTCAAATTGATCTCTTGCTAACTCAAAATCTACAAGGACTTACTGGAGAGGCTAGGATATCTCTCTCTAACTAACTAGAGACTTCTGTAAGAGATTAGATGGATGATAAAATAGATTTACAGTTTCTAAGACTTGCATTGTAGAAGGTATCTGAGCCATTAATTAAAAGAGACTAATGCCCAAGCAACAACTCAGATCACCATAGAAACTGCTTGGCAACACAATAACAACATCACAGAATACCCTAACACCCTGGCAACTATCAAGAACACTTTAGGAACCACATAGAAACTCAATTCCTTAGCAACCAACCACCCAGAACACCATAGAAACTGCGTAGCAAGACCCTAGCAACCACTTAGCATGGGAACACACAAGTAACCACCAAGAACACCCTGGAAACTTCTTAATGACACTCCATCAATCACCCAGAATACTATAGAAGCCACTTTGCCACACCCTAACTACCACACACAATATCCTGGGGACACCCTGGCAACCACTAAGAACACATCGCAGCATACTAGCAGCTACCTATAACACATTAGTAACTGCATACCAAAGACCTAGCAACCAGCCTAGAAACCACCTGGCGACATCCCTAGCAACAACCCAGAACACCCTTGCAACACCCAGAACACTATAGCAACTGCATAACAACGCACTAGCAACCACCCAGAACACCCTAACAACCATATCGCAACACTTAACTACATGTATCTTTTTTATAATTCTGAAAATGTAAATGTTGGTGACACTTCTTGTGAGGTTCATGTACTGTACATCGCATGTGCGTCTCAGGTGAGGACTTCAGTCTGGATCCCTTCAGCTGGGACTTTGTGGGAAAGAATGTGACATTCATGGCTGTAGAGGGGTTTGTCTATTTCATCCTGAATGTTCTGATACAGTACAGATTCTTCCTGGATCACTGGTGAGAAGAAATACTTTTAGCCTTGATAAAACACCATTATTTCCATATATAAATATGCTGTCTCTTTCAACAGGATGTCAGATTTTAAGAAGCCACCAGTAACTGATGAAGATGTGGATGTGGCCAAGGAGAGAGAGAGGATTTATAAAGGAGGAAGCCCTAGCGATATCCTCCAGATAAAAGACCTTTCAAAGGCAAGTCTGTCCACCTTACATACAGTGGTGCATGATGGACATTGCTTCACACAATAGAGATAATGAATGCATTTTCTCTCTTTACAGACGTACATGGGAACGATCAGGCCAGCAGTGGACAGGATATGTGTAGGAGTGTCACCCGGAGAGGTAATAAATGGATGCATTTGGTCTTTGTGTTGTAAGCTCCATGAGCTTTGCATGAACTGTCCTCCCCCCCACAGTGCTTTGGACTTCTGGGTGTGAACGGTGCTGGGAAAACGACCACATTCAAAATGCTGACAGGAGACATAGATGTCACTTCAGGGGAAGCTGCTGTGACTGGTTACAGGTTTGGTTATCTAGCTAATTGTTAAGGTATATTTTTGACTGCTAACACAATACAAAAATGGATAGGATGGTGAATGTGATTTCACCAAGTACAACATGTTTCGGGATCAACATCTTTGTTGATCATGGAACGATATTCCAAACAACCAATCAGATTTAAGGGATGAGTTTGATATAGTATATAGCTTGATATAGAAGTGTCTTGATGTATGGCTATCAAGTTTAGGCTTACAACCAGGGTTAAGTGCTTCTACATCAGTGTTATTCACCTATCATTTCCCTCTGATTTTAGGGATAAGTTTTAGGTATGTTAACATGTTAATCCAGGAACGTGTCTTATTTTTTTTTATTTTTTTTGCATCACTAAAAATAGTTTACCAGTATAATATTTTTACACCACCTAGAACATCCAGTAGGACTTTATGGGGCGGTTTCCCGGATAGAGATTAAGCCTAGTCCTAGAATAAAATGGCCCTGATTAACAAAAATCTGCTTTCTATGTCATGGCTTTAAATAGTCCTAGATTTAGTTTAGTCCAGAGTTTAATAAGCCGATTTCCTGGAGGAGGACTACAGTTACTCCAGGACTAAATTGATTCGTAAATTAAACCTACCATTTATGAAAGCAGTTTGAAAATATTTTTTTTTACTATTTTGTTGGGTTCTGCTAGTGATGTGTAAAATACACAATTATTACATTATGTTCATCAATTTGATTTCTTATGTTGTTCCAGCATTCTAACCAACATCCTGGATGTGCACCAGAACATGGGCTACTGCCCTCAGTTTGACGCCATCGATGATCTTCTAACTGGAAGAGAACACCTGCACTTATACGCTCGACTCAGAGGAGTCCCGGAATCCGAGATCAGCAGAGTGAGACGATATTCCATTTTCTTATCTCTTCTTATTTATTTCCCTCTGGGGATTTCTGTCAGAGTCTTCTATCTCCCTTTGATGAAGGTGGCTGAATGGGGAATTCAGAAACTGGGTTTATTTGAGTATGCAGGCTGCAGTGCCGGCACATACAGCGGTGGAAACAAGCGTAAACTCTCAACAGCTATCGCAATGATTGGCTGTCCAGCTCTTCTGCTCCTGGTAAGAGCCCTTTCTTTGTATATGATCTCAGAATATGATAAGCTTTGTTACTAGCATGTTGTTTTTCCTGTGCCAGGATGAGCCAACCACAGGGATGGATCCTCACTCTCGCAGGTTCCTCTGGAACTCCATCATGAGCGTGATTCAGGGCGGCAGAGCGGTGGTCCTGACCTCACACAGGCAAGATCACGACAAAGCTCATGCATAATATAATGCTAATAATAAAACCTATAGGTATAGGTAATAATATCATAGCCTACTTTTTATAATTCTCCAGTATGGAGGAATGTGAAGCACTCTGCACACGACTGGCCATCATGGTGAATGGAACGTTCAAGTGTCTTGGTACAATCCAGCACCTCAAATACAAGTAAGATCACACATTTTATTCACATGAATACACAGTTACACACTTTCTGCAGTCTCATAGCTTGCTATTCTGTGGAACATTTCTTATAATCATCATCTCCCTGCAGATTTGGTGATGGATACGTGGTCACCATGAAAATCAGGGCGGCCAAAGCAGGCACAGTCCCGGATCTGAACCCGGCTGAAGCATTCATGGAGAGCACATTTCCAGGCTGCATTCAGAGGGAGAAACACTATAATACTCTACAGTACGAGATCGCGTCTTCCTCTCTTGCCAAAATCTTCCAGCTCGTCTTAGCCAACAAGGAAATGCTGAATATCGAAGATTACTCGGTTTCCCAGACTACGCTGGACCAGGTATTTCATAAGATCCTGTTGGCCTAGATAAACCTTTACCATTTAGATTTGAAATGAAATGACAACTAGTACAAATATTTGACAGTATGGTAGGCATTTAAGTTTGAAAAAATGAATGATTCCCTTATTGTAGACCAAAACAGAGAGATCTATTATCAGTGTATGCGCTCTCCTACTTCTACTTCTGAGACATGATGTGCCAAACTATAGAACAGTCCAGTTCAGGGTCAGAAGATTGCAACAAGCCTTCATACATCTTGTGACCATTACCATTTGTTTCCATACCTGAATGTGACAAATACACTGGAACAAGGGCATTTTGGCTCCCTATGTAGTTTCGCTCTCTTTGTTTCACTCCCTGTAGGTGTTTGTGAATTTCGCCAAGCACCAATCCGGAGAAGATGATTCCATTGTGTTGCACCCGAGGGCAGCCGGTGCCCGGCGGGACATGAGAGTCTTTCCAGTGAAAACGAAAGCCTGAAAGCTTGAAGAGGGTCATCTGAGCAGGTCAATTGGAGTCATCTTGCAGGGTCGCACAAAAGAGTCATAAAAGAAAAGACGTTTTTTTTTCTTCTTACAAAACACTCAGACTTTTGATCGTTTACGCCATAACAGCTTTGCGCACCTTTTTTGATTGGCCTTTTTTTATATATATATATAGAAATGCATTGAAAAATACAACAAAATACATACAGAACTGGACTTATGCTTATGAATACTGTAGCACTTTATTATCAAAAGTGATGTCTATTATCAATATCACTTTTTTTTTTTACAAAGAATTTTGTTTTAAAAACAAATCAAATTATGCAATAGATTATATTGCCAAGGCTATTGCTAATGAAATGCATATTGCATTGTTGTGACCCATTGCAAGTCACAGCTTTAAGAATTTTTGCCAAGTTAGAAATAAGTATCATACAAACAGTTCCTGTAAATGAACTAAATAATATATGTTTAGTTTTTTAATTTGTTACTAGATATGGTTGATAAGGCAAGGAATTATAGAAAGTTGATTTTCTTTTTTTTTGTTGTCAAAATTCACCAAAATAATACTATTAAAACGGTTTGTGGTCGCTCACTTTGAACCTTGTCAAGAATTAATGAGAAAACATATACAATCCTGACATATTTGTTTAATGTGGTAACATTCTAGATTGTGGTTAAATGGCTTAACCATTTCAGGTAAAGCAAATTTTTTTTTTTTTTTTTTTCCCACATTTTTTTTTTTTAATTTAATGGTTAGTTCCAGTCCTTGATTCTGATTGGTCAATAGCTGTGCTTTATTCATGATGTAACACGGCTATGACTGCTTCACCCAACGGTTCTATTTCACACTGCGCAACACTGCAGTTGTGTTGTTTTTATTTGAGCTTTCATGCACATTACACATTGGAACGTCGTTGCCGTTCACGGTCAGGGACTATTTTTTTTTCTAGCGGAAAGAAGGCTTTTAGTGATTTTTACTTCATGAAAGTTGCACTAATACATATATTTTTTTTTATTTAATATTTGTATTGTGTGGTACTGTTTTATAAAAGCAATAAGGTACTCGAGGCAAGTGCTGTATCGTGAAGGGATTACTCCACTTCGCGTCGTGCCTAGCAACGCCCTTTTGCCAACACTTTTACCAAGTACCTTATTGCTTACACATAAATATAGTTTTGAATTCGCTTCTATAGCTCAGTGTCTCCCTGTGTTTAGGAAAAACAGTTTTCTTTCATGCTGAAGTAGAGGTAGAGTTCTGTATATTGCACATGGATGGTTGGTGTAATGATTTAACCTACAAATATTGCCACAAATCTGCTAATTTCAAATCCCAAGTGACATACCATTGTAAGTGCAACAATGTGTGACTTCATCTTGCATGATAACTGTGAGATATTTTTGAAAAGAGGATCTAACTTTCACATTCCTGCCCTGAGGGTGTCATAAATTAGCTTCATTTACATGCAGCTGTTCAGATGTCATAGTTCTCTCAGCCAAAATCATAATGTCTCTGCATTTTGACCTTAAGTTGGTATATGTGAATGTCAGAGGATGAAGGGGAGGATTGGCATGCGGAGGGTTGGGTAGTCCTTAAACTCTTGGGTGTAAATTTTGTGTTTTCCTTTGGCCCAGATGGTCATTTGAATGAACCCTACAAGTGTGAAGAGAGCCACTGAGAAAAAAAAGAGAAAAAAATGTAGCTCAGTGTAAATCAGATATATCAGTATGACAGAGCTGACAGCTTTGATTGCAGTTACTCACCTGGAACGCACTGGGTCATGATGGACAGGCCCAGCCAAACACCTACCTGATGGAAATTTTTACCAAAAATGTGATGGGTTAGGCAAAGGTAGAAGAAATTACGTTATAAACAAACATATAAATGTGTTGCTGTTACCTCATATGTGTAGTTGGGGCATGATACAAAGAAAAAGAGCCATGTAAAAGGGTTTTTGGATGGATGTGGGAACCTCCGACATTTTGTACCTTTTAAACAAAAAATAGGATCATACATGGGGCCATAAGCTGTAAAGTAGTCGAACATATGACATATGCAGTGCACTCACCTTCACATTTTAAACTGTTCAATGACCAGTGGATGGAGAAATTACCTGCCTCACATAACTGAAACACAAACAATATACATCATGTTTGTACATTGATCCTTAATATAAAATGGGATAAGATTTTTTGGATCACACTGTAACCTATGTGGTGTTTATTAAACCAGAAACATCACGTACCACAAAGATAATTAGTGCATAGTTGACCTGTGTCTCTCCGTATGCTGTAAAACATAAAAGTACGTTTAATGTATCAAATTGAAGTGACTATTAAATACCTTTTATCTCTTCTGGTACTCACATGGTGGTGTGTAGAGAGGATGATTGATGTAGTAAGCTAACCATGCTGCAAAACCCCAGTAATACGCACAATTCTGTGAATTCAGAGAATCGCCAATCAACTGAGGATTCGACATAATCATAATTGTATTGTTTAATTTGTCTCTCTGTATTCAACGATCATTTACCGTGTCTGAAGTAAACAAGGGTGACAACATACTTCTCAGACTAGTTTTTATTTGTTACAGAAGCAAAACAGGCCAGTGTGACTGAACACTCACCCTTACAATGGCTCTAAGAGGCATCGTGCCTTGAGAAAACCGATGCACAAATATTATTTCAATTAGCCTCTTGATATAGTGAAAGGAGTGACAAGCACAAGCCAAACTAAAGAGAAAATTAAAAATGTTGTTATTTATTCATATCTTTCAAAATCCATATGACTTTATTTCATCAATGGAGCACAAAAGGATGTACCTGACCACAGTATGAGAGCTGGAGGTGAAGGCGTAATTGTGGCTATAGATGTACGGGACACGGACATAGAAGAGGAGGTATATCAGAAGGGGACCAATGTACTCCGCCAAAAAAACCTGCAGAGGATTTATGTATTTAAGGATCATATGTTTGATACTGTCGGAATTACATTTTGCAAATCTACAGCACTCTTACCAACGTCCATCCCAATTGTGGGCCAAGGTCTCTAAAATACATGGTCGTCGAGGTCCCAACAGGAAGATTCTGCAGTACATCATCATCTCTCAGTGCTTTTCCTTCTAAAAACCACAAATGCAGAAGTAGATTTGCTACAGCTAGTGTTAAAGTTTTGGGTAAGTATAGATTTTGGTCTTGCTGCATCAAAATAGCTCTCAACCCATCTGAAACCTGAATATGCTGCCTTCAAAAGCACTACACTTAGGTAGCAAGAGATCAAGGGACATCCGAGTTCAATGTCTGCCTTCATCTGATCAGTTTTTTTAAAAGCAACATAGATTAATAATATCAATCAATTCAATGTGTGGCTTTAGCAATTGGTAGAGTTGGAGAAAAATGCAGATGCAGATGAAAGAATTTGTATGATTCCATTTCTACCCTAGAATAAGCCAGTCCTGAAAAATTCTCTCGGTTTAGAAACAGAGCTGAGAAAAGCAAAAGGACATAATATGAATGTGTTTATTATGGATGCAATACAGAATTCCACAGCCATACTATAGTATAAACATAAACCCCTTGTAAGGATATCATCTGGATGTTTTTGTTTTTGTATACATATATAAATTATGTATTATGAGGTCTTCATACTCACTGGGGTCCAGCCTTAGGGCTTGTCTAGCTGGATACAATTTGGGATCTGATGGTAATACAGAAAAAGCATATTACATAGACTTATTGTATATCTATTAAAATCTACAGCACAATGCTGTCATAATAAGAGCTAAGGATCCTAAATAATTCAATAATTGGTATGTAAATATTATATTTATTAAATAACATTTCTGTTTTAAACATATTAGACATTACATTATTAATACCTGTCCAGCAAATACATTTAGTGTTCATCACGCGCTCTGCAATAATTGATTCTGATTGGTCAAACGAGGCATTCAGCGGATATATTTTTCCAGAGTATCAAGCTTAAAGGAGTAATTCACTTTTGCTGATAATTTACTCACCCCCGTGTCATCCAAGACATGTCATTCTTTCTTCAGTCGAAAAGAAATGAAGGTTTTTGATGAAAACATTCCAGGTTTAGAAGCTTTGCGAGATCCCGAAGCGCAGATGATTCAAAACACCTACGTCACGTGACTACAGCTAAACGAAGCTTCTAGTGTTTCACCAGGTGGAGTGCTCCGCCTAATCAGGGTTGAAACCCGATGGTGGGCCAAAGACGCTGCGCTTACAAAAGTGTTTGGGAAGTTTGGGGGTCCAGAAGGACATCTTTACATTGATCTTGTTGTTACACTCAAGGCCCTGAGCGAGAAAGACAACATGAAGCCGACTGTGCGTGCGAAGGCCGACGGCTATGCAGAGGCTCTGCTGAAATACCAAACCCTCACTGCCCAGACGTTTTTACGCATATTCCAACAAACCACTCCACTTTCCAAGTATTTGCAAACTAGTTGAATGGTTTTGTTCACGGCCCATCGCTTTGCCACAAGCACACAAGACAATCTGAAGAAATATGCAAGGGATTTTAAGGGGGGTAAAGACAGACGCATTTGTGCAATGGGCCAATGTGAGACAGACGCAGAGGTGGAACATGCGCTGCCAAACCGGAGACCAAAGAAGACAAAAAAGATGCCAGGCGAGTTATCTGATGACACAACCATATCAGATGCTGACAGCAAGTATGAGGTACAAGTGCACAATGTCATTCTGGGTACCATCATTGAAAGTATTTCCCGACGTTTTGCTAAAAACAGAGAACTATACACAGATTTCGCCATGCTTGATCCTCAGAATTTCAATGACTTGAAATGTACTCAATGCCCTGAGCGCAAACTCATCAGACACGATAGCAGAGCAACTCCTGAGGCCTTACAGGGTGAACTACTTAGCCTGGCTACACACTGGGACAAGCTGAAGGTGTCTGTGCGCAAAGAGTATCTGACCAAGATGAGAATTGAGGATGGAGATGATGAGCAGAATCCAGATGAAGAATCGGATGTTGTGAACAAAACCTGCCAATCTTGCAGAAAATGTCCCATCTGTTGTTAATATGTCCTACAAAGGTATAAGTTAACCTGCTCACTTACTCCTACCATCTAATCGGACTTGGATACAAGTTTCTGTTAACTCTGTCTGTGACACAAGTTGCATGTGAGCGAAGCTTTTCCACGTTAAAATTCATTAAGAATCGATTAAGGAGCACCGCTTCACAGGAGATCTTGAAGCCTTTATGTTGATGGCAATCGAAAAAGAGACTGGCTTCTTTGGACACGGAATAGCATCATCGAAAGGGTAGCGGAGAAGAGCGCGCTGATGCAACAAGGTAGGCCATGCTTCTTTTTATCATACCCGTATTTTCCGCACTATAAGGCGAAAAATGTTCTAAAATAGGTTATTCGTTGAAGGTGCGTGCGCATAAGATACTGCAGTCAGGTCGTCGGGCCGCTGTGCCATGCCCGTGTGCGTGTGTTTTTGGCCGCTGTGCCATATTGTGTGCGCGTGTTTTTGGCCGCTGTGCCATGCTCTTATGTGCGTGTGTTTTTGGCCGCTGTGCCATGCCCGTGTGCGCGTGTTTTTGGCCGCTGTGCCATGCCCGTGTGCGCGTGTTTTTGGCCGCTGTGCCATGCTCGTGTGTGTGTGTTTTTGGCCGCTGTGCCATGCCCGTGTGCGTGTGTTTTTGGCTGCTGTGCCATGCTCCTGTGTGCTGTGAGGGTCCGAAATAAACTTTTTGGCTCACCTGCCAAGGGGACTGGTAGCCTAGATGAAAAAATCCACCAGCCAAGCATATTTTTTTACCGGCCAAAATAATAAACAGCCTTTTTGTGTCACATATACATCAATTTATATATAGGCTATATTTAAACATTTTTGTCATTATATTTCTGGTCTATTATTTTCCATTCTTACTTTTATACACACATATTACACAATTTACACGCATTAAAATAATATTTTTGTTTTGGCCTATGAAAATAGTTCTGTACAAATAAAATGTATTAATTATATATTAAATAAATAAAATGTAAACAAATAATAAAAGAAAAAAATGTATGCAATAATAATAATATAGGCCTACTATAATTAGGCCTATATTAAAAAATTAGTTTTACTCTGCCTATTTTTTTTACTCCATTTACCCTGACTAATCCGATCAGAAACTGAAGGACTGGGAATATCCAGAAAAAGATTTGTTCATTTTGATGAATGAGTTCGAACAGGAAAGTCGCACAGAACAGAGCAAGGCGAGCATTTGAGCTTCTAAAACTTAAACTTTTTTTTTTTTTGAAAAACTGACTGATTGTTTAGCTTGATAAGACCCTTATTCATTGTTTGCACTAAAACTGTCTTTTGGACCTTGAACCGTTTGGTTACCAGTAAAGTCCATTATATGGCAAAAAATCCTGGAATGTTTTCATCAAAAACCTCAATTTCTTTTTGACTGAAGAAAGAAAGACATGGACATCTTGGATGACATGGGGGTGAGTAAATTATCAGCAAATGTTTTTTTGAAAAGTGAACTACTACTCTAACTTTTTTTTTTTTAAGATGCATAATTATCTTACAGAATGATCCCATGCAACACATGTCTAATATTTGAAGTAAAATAAGAATGGCATACGGAAAAATCTTTGAAATGGCATTTGAAACAACAGGGTGAGTAACACCAACTGAACCGCACCACCTCAGGAGTGCATTCTGTTTCTAATAATTGAAATGCCCACCATAAATTCTATATTAAATAAACCTTGACAGGGTAATGAGGACCCAAGGCAGAGCAAAGGAAAAATGTGACTTATCATAAATGGCCAGGCAAAATTGCAATAATACAATACCACTGTGGGGTGAAAATAAATAAATAAATAAATAACTTACATGACTTGTGAAACAAAATCTTAATGTCACCTATGCTTGAATGGGGATCAACCTGCATTAAAAAACAAAATAAAATAATTTCCTCGTAATTTTCTTTTAGCTGAGTGCAGCAATCACTATCATTGATTGTTAGTTGTAAAATCTGCTTACCTTGTCAAGAAAACAGAGCTGTTCTTTGGTGTTTGAATCTAGAATTTCGACCTGAAAGATTAAAGCCATATCAGCTGGGTTAAAGGGATAGACTCACCCTCAAGTCATCTTAGGTGTATATGACATCTTCTTTCAGATGAATCCAATTACAATCGGAGTTACATTAGTTAGTTATAACTATCCCTTTAATAGACCTTATTCCCAGCAGCGCCATCTTTGATTTTTTTAACCGGAATGAAAGCGAGGCTGCGAGGGATAGATAGACACGGATCTCTTCAGTGGGTTCTTATGTAATGTGTTGTTGGATTGTTCTGCTGACGAAACACTGCAAAATCCTTTCCAAGATATTTCAGTATATATAAAATACCTGACAACATGAGCTGTGGAAAATTAGAAGTGATACAAGTTTTATTTCCAGCAGATGCAATTGAAAACAGCAAGTCTATCCCTCACAGCCTCACTTTCAGTCATGGTGCTTCTCTGAATAAGGTCTATAGCTGCATGGCACAGACACTGTGTGAAGCATACTTAATTTTAAATTTTTTTTCATGAATCAACATAAATCAAGTTAATTTTGTGAAGGTTTGGCCTCAGGGTGAAGCTGCCCATCACTTCTCCCAGAATTTAATGCTTCAAAGATACAACTGACAACTGAGAAAAGCAATCAAATCTCTAGCTGTTTACATAGTTTCATATTAATAGAAAATAAGGAGTTTAAGAAATAATTTGCAACACGTCTCCCCTTGAGTGATCGCAAAAGACGTGCTGTGAATGATATACAAATTCATTCTGACACAGCTTTTGTGTAGGCTATCGCAGAAGCCGTTGAGCACCTAATGAGGGCAGCGCAGTCCAGACGCTGTATTGATCAGAGCTTCTGTTTTGACAGATCTGACCCTTTTTAGCTCATTGTATTCACTTCATCACCCCCAAACAACAATCTCTTCCATTGTCTGTATCCGACCTGAGCTCTAAATTCCGGGGATGCATCTTTTTGCAGAACGGGGATCTTTTTAATCTCAATTAAATGGTGTCAGCGTTGATCTACAGAGGACTGTGAGTTGAGTCTGCTGCAATTTGCCTTGAAAGCACTACATATTGTGGAGCTCAGCAGTGCTGTCACCCTGAAACTACTGGCTAGTGTAATAATCTTCTAATGGACACACAGGATTAGGCTAATGCTCAACTTAAAGTAAGATTCCCAATGGAGTGGTTGAAGTTATTCTAAATTCAACAGCTAGTTTTCTTACACTTTTGTATGGCAGATATTTGATGAAAATGCAGAGTATTTCTAGTGAAAACATATTTATCATTCAAATTTTTTTAGCTGTGTGCCCTTGTGAGTAAAATAAATTCAATATATTTAATAGAGCAAACATTCTATTGTCGCTCAGACTATCGCATACATTATATGACATAATTATATTACAGGATTAGGGCTGTCAAACGATTAATCGTGATTAAACGCATCCAAAATAAAAGTTTGTGTTGTTTACATAATATATGTGGGTGCACTGTGTATAATTATTTTGTATATATTTATAAATACACACACATGCATGTATATTTAAGAAAAAAAAATATTATTGATATATAAAATATTTACATTTACTTATCATATAAATTATGTATAAATCTATATACAGTGTATACATGAAAATATTTCTGTGTGTGTGTATACACAGTGCACCCACATATATTATGTAAACACAAACTTTTATTTTGGATGCGATTAATCGCGATTAATCGTTTGACAGCCCTATATAGGATTCATAGCGCATTCTAATGTGGTTTGAAATCTGATAAAAAATTGATTATCTCATTCTGAAACTTTTTTTTCATATGAATTGTCTGGACAGTATTTTCACTCTGCCTTTAGTTTTAGTAAATTAATGACTCACTCACCGTAATACTCATGTATAAAGACCAAGCAGTAAAATTGTCCTGTTTTCAATCAGGCAGAGTAATCAATAAAACCACTCTGTGGATTTCTGAGTGCTATTGACAGGACGTCCTGCTTCTGTTATACCCATCCCCCAGTACTGTAAATACAGCTGTAATGTTGAGGAATGTACCATTCTCAAACATGACATAATTCTGGATCAACTGTGGAACCTCGATTTTGTCGTTCTCTCTTGCTGACAGAAAACAGTTCTGTACATTACATTAAAATGTCTGATTTCTGTAGGCTACATTTGATTTTAAAGATGTTTATATAGAGTGTGTGTTAATCAATAGCACAGCAGTCTCTGGTGGTGTTTTACATAGGCAGTGGCAACGCATGAGAGGGTCATTAATCCTCCTCAGATGACAGGCCGGTCAGTTATGTGCTAAATTATATTTACTTGTTTATGTTCAGCAAGCGTAAAATTAAAGCAAACCAGCACACAGCAAATTTGCTCTTACAGTATGACACCCGATTGGAGGAACTACACATTTTCAGCTTAAAAAATGCTGTGATTGTTTTTAATTAGCCTAACATTTAATCACTTTTACTGTCACTCATATTTATGATTAGATCATGGATTTGTTCAAATTCATTGAATGAACAAACCCAAATACATATATTTTCTGGTTAACCCACACACAGTGAAGGATCTCCTTTTCTTTGTGTTGTTTCTGTGGGTATACGAGGCTTTATACTCTTTAGAAACAGAAATGAAAGGCCCTCGAAACCCATAGATTAAAGTTTGTATAAAAAGCAGCATGTCATCTTATAAATGAACTTTGATGCCTTACCTCAAAAAATATTGTCCTGCTCATTCCGGGGCCCTTGTCTGACGTAATGTTTGGTCCCCCAGAGTTGGACAGGCAGCTCCGTCCTTTCCTGTGGTATTGCCAGTGTTAATTCTCCATTCTAACCCTCTTCCTTCTCTCTCCATCTCCCCTCCCACACCCACCCCCTCCTCCTGCCTCTGCTTTTTACTGTCTTTTTTTCTTTCGTCTTGCTCTTTGAAGAGCATACGTTTTTGAAACCTGTCTTGGTCTGTAATCTTGTCCTCAGTTTGTCTGTAGGCCCTCAATTTTAACCTATACTGTGAATTGGTGATTTATGAGATAGATAGATAGATAGATAGATAGATAGATAGATAGATAGATAGATAGATAGATGGATGGATGGATGGATGGATGGATGGATGGATGGATGGATGGATGGATGGATGGATGGATGGATGGATACATACATACATACATACATACATACATACATACATTTTAACCACTTTTAACCACTTACATAATCAATAAGTAATAATATATATGATTAGTATTAATTCCATTAACCCTATTGTAAGAATGGTAATGACTCAAGTGTTATATACATTCGAATTGTGAGCTATTTGGAACAGTTTTCTGAAGTCAAGATCATGGTAACCCAGAAGAAATGACTGAAGTGTTACCAAATCCAAAACCTTACAAAAACATCAAAAGTTTATGACTTCAATATTTAGTGATCATGCTTTTTAACTTACACTGTAAAAAATATATATATATATTGTTGGTTTAACTTAAAAAATGAAGTAACCTGGTTGCCTTAAAATTTTAAGTTCATTGAAATGGAAAAATTGAGTTAATACAATGAAGGAGAGTGATTTAATCGTCAGAAACTTAAAATATTGTGTTATCTGAAGTGAACAACATAAAGTATTTAAGTTGATTTGACAAAAGAAAAAAATGTTGTGATTACAAATCATGAAAATATATGAAGAGTTCAGATGCAAAAGCCTCTAAATGCCATTTGAAATTTTCTTCTTTAATGATGATTTTTATCAAGCTTGTATATTTAAGTTCAGTGATTTCACTTAAATGGCAATGATAATTACCTATTAATTGTTATTTAAGCGAAATTACTGAACTTAAATATACAAGTTTGATAAAAAATCATTAAAGAAGAAAATTTCAAATGGCATTTAGAGGCTTTTGCATCTGAACTCTTCATTTTTTTACTGTGTAGAATGTTGTTCCTTCTGAATGATTTGGTAATACTTGAGTAACTCAAGTATTTACACTGTAAAAATTAGACGATCAATCAGTTACAACATATGTCTATGCTTTAACCCATCAAAATAATAAGCAATTATACAAGTTATATACATTTCAACTACTGTTTTGAAGTCAGTTTAATGTAGGCCTAATTTAAGTTGAAATGACTTAAACAGCCCAGTTGAGTACTTAAAAATTTAAGGCAGCAACTTTTGAGTGGGTTACTATAACTGTAAAAAAAATATTTCTGGTTTAAATTTTAAAAAAAAGTAAGTAACCTGGTTGCCTTAAAATTTAAAGTTGACTGAACGGGAAAAATTTAGTTAATACAATGAAGGAGATTGATTTAATCGTCAGAAACTCAAAATAAGTTATCTGATCTAAATCAATTATTTAAGTTGATTTGACAAAAGAAAAAATGTTGTGATAAATCTTGAAAATATTTTTTTTTACAGTGAATGAATTATGCATTATTTGCATTAGTTCGTAAAAATGAATGTAGTTCTCTGGGAGGTATGAAAAATTGTTACTTATTAGCTGACAGTGAACTTACGCAGTTCTATTACTTACTAATTAGTCAATTGGAGTTTGTTGTTATTTAATAGTATAGTATAGAATGTTAATATTGTATTATATTTTGTTCCTGTGTAGGTATTTATTAATGAAGGAACGGTATTCTAAAGTGTTACCCAAAAAAAAAAAATCAATAATAATTTTGTATATTTGTCATCATATTTAATAGTCTTAGTATTGAAAACATTGAAACATGATTTAAAAAAAAAAAAAAAAAAAAAAAAACTTAAAAACAGCCAAAGCAGGAGATTTCCATGTTCATTATATGTTGCATTTCAGCAGGTTTTACCTGTGTTTCACAGTTACAGCCTTTTCTGTCTTTGTTGTCAATAGAGTCTGGTCACGTCAAGTGGCTTAGACATGGTGATTGAAGCTTCACTCTTTGTTTGAGTGGAGTGCAGAGGCAAAGGGCCCTTGGTCACAGCCTAGCAAACTCTTGAAAAGCATGTATTCAAAAAGCTGCCTGCACTTCAGAGAGCTCACATATCTGCTGTGCTGACCATATTCAGTGTCCATGACAGCATCTGCTGCCATTCTGAACACACATAACAACCACAGACTGATAGATAGATAGATAGATAGATAGATAGATAGATAGATAGATAGATAGATAGATAGATAGATAGATAGATAGATAGATAGATAGATAGATAGATAGATAAAATCATTGTTATTCTTCAGATGTCATGTGACATCTCTCAAGGTCAGATTGGCTACCCTATATCATGATGGGAATCCTCTATTTCTCATCTTTTTTCACATCTGTGGTTGCTCAGCCTCACAAGCAACCCCCCTTGCCGAATCTCTGACCCAGCTGCCATTGAGATGTGAAATTCAAATGAAAAGACACTCTGAATTGCCAAAGGCACTAGGGCCACTTCATGGAAAGTGAACAGGATGTCGGCTAAGAGAAAGAGTTCCTCTTTAGCGTGAGCACACAAGTACAGCCCAGAGAGTGTTTATATGATAAAGGGCTGTGTAACAACTTCATAAGTGTCCAACTGACAAATAGCGTGAAATGTGAAGGTATTAGTGAATTTAATCAAAACAAGGGAGATGAGCAGGAAAAGATCTTTTATCACACTCTGTTTGACATTAAAAGTGCTTATTAAATTTGCCGCTAGAGGGTGCTGTAATCTTGTCAAAACATTGTGATTTCTGTAATCCTTCAACTGTGGAGGAAAAGTCCGTCTGTGGGGTTCGTGTTTACAGACAATGAAGAACAAGGAGTACGTGTGAATCAGGTGTTTTTAATTAATTTATGAAGTCACTGTAAACTTTATCGTATGCTATTTTATTGTAATATTACAACGCCATTATATTTTGTGCAGGCAATTATCTTATTTTGTTGTGAATAAAAAAGCCTGACAATGTCCCTGCTAAATACCTAATATTAGCTGAAATGACGTAAAATTGTAGGCTAATGGCGCTTTCCAGGCACCCTGTAGGCTACCCGTGTTTTTCAAACCTTATACCTGTAAAAGTGCACTGGATCCGTGAGTCGTGACTTCCCACCCGTAAACTGAACTCGATGTACTAACAGTTAAGAGCTCTGACGTCACATAGCCCGCGAAACCATACAAAAAGAACAATGGCAGCCCCTACGGATGCGGTGTTTCTGCAGGCGGTACACGGTGAGAATACACTTTAGGATAATATAACGTTAAATAGTTTTTTTTTTCAGTCCATTGAGTGCAAGGATAAATTAATACCAACATTTACAAATAAAGTAAAATAAAAGGTATAACAGCTTATCTTGCTTTATGTGCCGTTTTCCTCCTTAGTTTCCCCTCAAATAAACAAATTATTACAAATGCGCACAAGCCCCGTAAGGTCCGCCATGCTGGTTTGTTTACATCGGGTATGCCCAGTCCACTTTTACGTTCTCATGCAAATAATTGTGCTCTTATAAACTATTCAAACAAAAACTTTATGGGAATATGGGTTTTTTTTTTTTTTTTTGGAAGAAAAAAAACCCTAAAAGAGTTGTGTCAAGCTTAGTGGTGGTGACATTGAAGTTGTGTGACTTCAGTGGTTTAGTTCCTTTAGTTCGCTTATAGCGTTTATAGCTTTTTACTCCTGGCTACTGCATTTAGGATACAAAATTCAAAAAAGTTGTGTTCATCTCAATGGTTCTGCACCACTTTATTCCACCAGGTTTTTTTTACTGAAAGTCCCCAACTCGTAAATATCGAGGCTTAAAAAATCCCGAGCTTCCCACCCATATTTACATTTTTTTCGACATGACTTGAACATAACATTAGTAAGTGGCCTTCTGAAGATATGTTGACCTAATACCAAGCTATTGGATAAAATTGCAGTTTATGTGCTGGACTAATTGTGAATGCATGCTAGATGGAGTAATTATAGCATCAACAGGGACTAATTGGGCCATGCTAATCAGCCAAACCCTGAACCCTTGGGTCCCTCACTTGAAATAACTCTAAAGGTGTTCTGCAACTTTAAAATAAACATTTAGGTCTTTAATTGAAGGCTTAATTAATTATTTTAAAAAATTATTATTTCAGTCCACAGCAGTCAACAGTTTTGGCCTTGAACCTGCAAGTCTACTCGGTCTGCATCTTAAATATGTTTCTTTCCTGTCCTCGATTTTCCTGCTTATTATCTGCTTAGCATCTCAAAGCACTGCCAATTTCAGTTGCCCAGGTAAGGAATCATTTTGATTTAAAATCGACCCTGATTATCTTAAATAATAGAAAATGTAATAACCCTGCAATATAATAAAAATGATCTTGATGTAATTTTAAAGCCTGCAATAATGACACTTTTGTGAGGCTGACATTTTAATTTGTGCATTTTCATCATTCTGAATAATATCTAGCTGTATTTGGTACATGGGAAAACCATTTCTCTGAAAATCCAAGAAAAAAATGAGAAAACACTGCTTTTTTTAGTGTTTTCAGCACTATTTTAACCATGTATTGTGCTGGTGCTGCCTTTTTATGCCGTTTATGATGTATGATGGTGTTTGTTTTACCCCATGGCTTTGTTGCATATCCATGAACTCTATGTTCTTTGAGATTCCCTTTGATTTTACTGAGATGTCTTCCGTCTTTCTAGCCTGGTTAAAACCAGACCATTCTCAGTTGTAACTGGCAAATCATCATAGACATCATTTTCAGTGGGGCGTCACCAATGGACGTCGGAGATAGACCCAAAACCAATCAGAGCGATGAAGGAGATGATGAATGCAGACCGAGTGTTGTTCTTTGCTCGGTTTTTAACAAAAAGGAAACATTCAA